GGCGAGCTGAGGTCACTCGTAGCCAGCCCAAGGCCCTCCGTGGAGCACGGCCCCCGCCTCCGCGCTCACGCCACAGGAGCCCAGAGGCAGAAGCGCCGCGTCCCTGCTGGAGAAGGAGCAAGGCCGTTCTCTGGGCATCCTCGCAGCATCATGACTCTCCAGGTGAGCAAATCTGCATCTGGTGAGACGAGACATGCAAGTAGAGGAGAGGGAGAGATGCACCGTCCATCTGTGTGATGCCATGTCAGAGACAGCAGTATTTCTTTAGTGTAAGGATTATTGCTGCAAAATCAAGGTTACCATGCGGCATGGGAAGTTTGCCTAAGCCTTTGGAGGTTTGCAACTAGAGGGTGAGAGACATGCCGCTTATTTTGAAATGCTCCTAGGTCATCTAGGTTTTTTGAGCCTTACCTGTTCAGAGCATGCATGAATTATTTTTCTTTATGTGTGCATCTGAGTTTGCTAGGACTGGATTACGCACTGAAAGGTAGGTACGTGTTTATTTTTTTAGGATCTAGCTTGTTACTTGCAGCTATAAAAGGAGGAGGGAAACTGCTAACACTGAGGCAGCAGTATATGTGCATTTGGGAAGTATGAATATCTTTTAAAGGAGGTTTTTTTTAGAGTGTGTGCATCTTTGGAGTGGTACGTTTTGATGGGCTTGTTTTGCGGTCGGAAAGCTTCTGCTTTCTACTCTCTGGCTAGAGAGCTGCCTTCTACCTTCTCTCTGACTATAGATTTAAGTAGTTCTTGAGGAAATTATCTTCATTGCTGGCTTTTAGCCTCCTTCCTACCTTTGTAGCAAACTATGAATACTTCCCTTGTCTTGCCCATGTCCTGATGGATTAGACTGTTTTTCTTCGTTAGGCTTTCTGTTATCCCTTTCACTTCAAGATTTGCAAGCCCTTTTATCCCGGTCTCATTATAATGTCTGTCTCAGCTTGGTTAGTGTGCATGTTTTGCAAAGAGTGAGCAACATAATGCTCTGACCTAGATGCAGGGAGTGCATTGCCAGTAGCTCAGCAATTTTCTTCTGAGCTGCAATTATGTCGAATGGCACAGAGGTTTCATTGTGGTGTTTTACCGCTAAGAGGAAGAATTGTATTTCTTCAGTGGGTCAGAATTGCCAAATCCCAAACCTAACACCACCTTTGTTTAATTAGTGATCACTGGAATTATAGTTTGTTTTATTCTGCCTTGAATTCACTGTAGAAAATCAATTTATTAGCCTGATGATTAAGCAGTGAGCCATAAATCACTATTAGAAAGAGCTGAGTGCAGTATGATATGCCATTCCATTGCTGTATACAGTTATACTTTCACATAAAAAACAGTGGTTGAAATATTACGATATCCTACACATTCTGCATTTCACATTAGAGAAGTTTTCTATCCGCTGTCGCTTTGGTTGACAGCTACCATCCATATCCATAAAAATTAATTGAATCAAGCTGTATGGGAATGAGGGCAAAATGAATAAAATAATGTTTTCATCAGGGAGGCTGTAAAAGAATTATAAGTTTTGCAAACTGGTAGAATACTGTAAATGAAGAATTCATTCAAGCTGTTTTCTTTGATAAAAGGGAATATGTGATAATAGTCTGATGATTTATGCATTTATCTTTAATGCATGTGTGTATGTGTATGTTTATGTCTGTATATGTACTTATGCTTTTAATTTCGGGAGTTAAAGGAAATTTTATCGGCACATGATTAAAAGGAAATCATATTTTTATAGGCTGCTGCTAAGCATGTTGTGTAAGCAAGCAAATCCTAAGCAACAATCTGTGCACAATGATTGGCTAGAGGGAGGTGAGGAAATAAATGTTTAGTATTTACTTTTCATTTCTTCTTATTTCTTGCTGTGTAAGATATGCATTTGTATATTTTAAAAATAGTATCTTGTGATACTTGCCTATAGATCCAAATAGAATAAAAGTATATGAAGATAAGAAACTTATTAACTTAATGGTTTCCTAATGTATTTTTTTGAGTTATCTTTTGTCTTGTGCAAGTCTAACAATACTTCTAGTTCATTCTCACTGTGAGACTTGGATCAGAAAACAATTCAAGGCATGTGGAAGATTGCCACTGACTTGAATGGTCCTTGTACATCAATGCTGGTAGAGGCTCCATGCAGTAGTAGCCACAGTATGAAGACAAAGATAAAAATGTAATTAAAGTTTAATCAATTGTTGCAATTCTGTTACATTTTATTATTGATACCACTTCTTAATCTCACCGTTAACAGAGCGTGAATGCTGCTTTTGTTTGTGTGTATATGGATAATATTAAGAGATACCTGTGATGTAGGAGTCAGGGATAGGTATGGTCAAGAAGGTCACGTTACTGGTGTTTGGATTAAGAATGAAATACTCATTTTTATAAAATTTTACCTACAAAAGAAGATAAGATAGAGTGGTGGGCCATCACATTTATTTTCGTAAGCAAACATACATCCCTTTTATACATCTATAATGTATAGATGTATATATATACACTATATATACAGCAGTGTGAGTATAAATGCTTTGCTTTTAGGAGTGTCAAAGATGTTCAGTTTCTTTCAGATGCTATTTTTAATTCAGTGCTAAGTTAGTTGAATTGCTGATTTTGTTTCCCCTCGTTGAGCCCTTCTCCATAATAAATGCTATACATCTATTAAAAATGCTGTTGTTAGTGCCTATGTAGACATGCGTTTTTGCATAATTAAACTCCAGTTTTGGTACCTGAGTACAAAACTCCTTCGTATCCTAATGCTGTGGTGTCTGAAACACTGCGTAGCAGTGTGGCATGTCTGGAGTGACTCTGAGGTAAGCCAGGATGCAAATTCAGAGCATGTGAGTTCCTCTGCAGTAAGAGCCCATGTCCTTGCCCCTGCCCTGAGGTAAGCACAGAGTGGACCAGACTTACTGTCATGTAGGGATAAGCAACCTAGCTGCCAAAGGAATATAGTGAGGTAAAAAGTCATACGAACAGTCTCGCAAGTGCTACGCATTCAGACTCCTTTTTAGCTCATAGCGACGTGTCCGCCCACCCCCGTGCTACCAGGCTGAAGGTGCCCATGCTGTGTTATGCCTAAGGCACAGGGCAGAGTGCACGTGCCCCAAAGCTTTGAATTCTCTCCCTGCACTGTTGTTGACTTGCTGGCCTCAAACGTGTGTGTGCACCTTTCTGGTTTTGCTTCTGAAAGGAAGTATAGTGCTATTTACTGACTTTCTATGGCCCTTGGCAATTTGTGGTGAAAAATTAAAAATGAGCTTAACATCTGAACTTGCTGAAGCATTTCAGGTGGTTGGAGGAAATTCAGGTACAGTTACCCTACAGAAGGAGAACAAGAGAAAATGCTGCATAAGAAAAAAAAAAAAAGATTGCAAGGCTTTCATGAAAGCAAATATTAATATTACAAATCTTAGGAATGCCTCACAGAGAGGACTTTATTATATTGCTTACAAGAAGCACACATGAACTTTGAACTGTGATTAATAACTAAAGCACATGTTTTTTCTTTTATGGCCAAAGATACTTCTCTCTTGAACATCTAGGATAAGCCAAAGATTGAATGATACAGGATTCAAAATGTTTTTGTTTGCACCTAAGCTAGAAGCTATCAAAGCTGTCATTTCTGGAGAAAGAATCGATTTCTCAAATTTGATTAGAGATTAGGATTTTCTTGTTTGTAAGGATTTTTCTTCTATGGCATCAAGAACAAGTAGGTGTAGAGAATATACAGTTTTCACATTAGTCTTAACAACTGATCCTAAGAGAAATACTGTCATAGCTTGTGCTGTAAACTTCATAAAGTCCAATGAAATTCTAATGCCAAAGCTTACAGAGTAATTAGCAGGCATTTCTTTGTACCATTCTTTACTTAATTGCTGTTCAGCAGATTTAGTATTTAAAGAAGAAATTAAATTAGCTGTGGCTACACACAGGTATTTCAGATATTGCAACTGTGGTAGTCCAGCCATGGCTACAGAGATTTTGCAGTGGGAATTCCTTAAGGATCAGATCGTACTACTGCGTGCATTGTGAAAACGTGGCAAGCTGACAGAAGATTTCTAAAGCGTTATTATTTACTGATTTGATCTGAAATACATTTGATCTGAAATTTTCATTCTTGTATAATTATGTTCATAAAATGTTTCTCTGTTTAACTTTTTCCTTTTAATGTCCACAATTTCTAAAGGGTTATTATTTACTGATTTGATCTGAAATACAAAGATTTTCATTCTTGTATAATTATGTTCATAAAATGTTTCTCTGTTTAACTTTTTCCTTTTAATGTCCACAATTTAGAGGGGTTTTAGAAGAACAAAAATTACTTGACTTCCACTTTGTGGCAGTACTAAAACTGTGTCTCCTGACCTATGTACGTTGAGATATTTCACCACCAGCAAGACAGCAAAACCATCCATTCAGGAATATATGTATCTGAACTTATAAATAAGTACTGAATCTACATCAATGTTAATGTCACTATTGCTAATTTAAAACATTAAACTGAAATTATTTTGTTAACTAAATTGCCAGAAATACTTGTTGTTCAGGCCTGTCAGAATATACAACTCCTGCTCCACAGCACTTACTACTTTAAGATAATTTCAAAAAGTTTGTTTTATGGCAGTGAGGAGATGCAGTCTGAAAGAAAGTGTAAAATGTCACCATGTACAAGTTAGAAAAGGCTTCTCAATACTAGCGTAACTTTACAAAAAGGTCACTACATATTGTGAAGGTTGAGGACTACGCTATGTATACCTCCTAAGCCTCATACAGTCCTGAAAAGCGTTTGCTGTTAAGTGCCGTGTTCTCTTGAGTTTCTTTCTTGTGGTAGGGGTCCCTCCCATTAATAAGCAAAAGATGATCAGAGGTAAACTACATTTATGGGAAGAACAGAGGAAATCCTTAGGCTTAGTTAGTTGGTAACAACTAGACGCTTCAGTGATGCTTGAAGTGGTTTTTGGGAAACGTTTGCTTTTATTAGTATTTAATTTAAATCATTAAGCTGCTAATATGGTTACTTTTTAAATGAGACCCTCCACAGACTTTCCAAGATTTATTTACTTATACCAGTGTGACTATTTGTAGGCTACTACCTGTGGAATTTGTACTTTGTCAGGCTTCTAAGGGGAACATTGAGTAACTACTACTGTCTGTATCATTACAGTATTTGGGAGACTCAGTCAAGAGTGCTCGATTCTGCAGATAGAGAGGAGCAAGGTGGTATCGACTCCAAGAGCTTGCAGCTGTCAGAAAAGCTGAATTTGACTTCAATGCAAAGAACAGGTTCTGCTTGTATAGCATATATGTAATTTGTGCAGTAATTGTGTATTACTCCAATTTCTGCCTGAAAGCTTAAGGACTTATTATCATGTAGACCACTTTTTTTTTTTTTTTTTTTAAAAAAAACCTCAGTTTAGCTGCAACTCTTTAGTTTGTGTTTACCACAGAGCCAAACAAGCCCCTCAAATGTTACTTAACTGCTTTGGTTATTTGGGACAGAAGACACTTCATGAAATGTTTAACAATTTACTGTCAGCTGTGGTGAGAAAGCTTGTACTCCAGTTTTCTAGCCTTTCAGGAAAACAGATAATCAGGATTCATATTTCTGACATAAACATTGTAGAAGAAAATATTTAATGTTTTCTTTATCCAGAACAAAGAAGCAAAAGAGCTTTTGTGTCCATATAATCCATTTTTAATTCTGATCCAAGCTAACTAAATCCAGTTGCTTCAATTAAAATACTTTTCATGATCAGTTTAATTCCTACTAGAATGCTGATTTTTTTTTTAAGTAAACAATAGAGTATATGAAACAAAAATGCTGAGAAGAGATGCTGTAAGGTCATTTTAACATTATTGATTCAGCTTTTATATGTAGTCTGGAGCATATGATTTTGATTTATCTATCTAAATTATTTATAACATATTCTGGGCCTTTTAGGTTTTAATTCTGAAATAAATCTGTATTTGTCTTGCAGTGCTCTCAAATATTTAGTCGGTTTAAAAAAATCCACAGTGTTTACTTGTTCTTAAAAGAAATAAGACACAAAAACTTGGACTTAAAGCTTTGTGTTTTTCTATGATTCTACAGTATAGTTGCATTTTATTGAGAATTATTTTTATTAAACCAGGAACAAACTGCATAAGCATAGTTCCATGTCTTCAGTCTATGAAAGTTTTAGATTTAAGAACATAATTTGGAAGTCATTTGATTTAGAATGTAATGTGGTAGCTCTGACAGTCATATAATTTATCGAATAACCAAGTTTCAGAGCTTTAAGTGGACAAATGGCTCTTGGAATCTGGCTAATTCTTAGTATTGTACTGAGTAAAGAATGAAGGATTGTTATATTCAAAATATCTTCACATAACAGCAGCATTGCTCAACCTTAAATCTGATAAAGACTGGTTTAACACCCTAGATGTTTTCTGTACTTCTGCATCCACTACTGGGCATTTGGTTCTGGGAGGCCTTGGTGGGAATATCCTGGAAGCTTCTGCTTGTTGGCTATGCAAACACTGAGGTTCTTGCTGAGCTGCGATATTATTTGTTCATAAGCTTCTGCATTGCTGCAGGATTTTTGTCTAAAGAGCTTTCCTTCCATTGCATTTTTAAGGGTGCTATAAACTGACAGAACTAGAGATGTCGATTATCATCATGAACCCTTCTCATCTAATGCTCTGTGAATTTATAACTGCAGTTTAAACAAGATGATTGAGGATTTATTTTAATTGCTGTTTTGCATCTGGGAACTTTACTCATGAGCCAAACTGGGGTCACTGTACAAAATCTAAGCTGTCTCTGAAATCACCTGGGCATTAAACAGGACTCTGAACTCTATGCTAAAGTCTAGCCTGAGACCTAGTAGATAAAGAGAGTAACAGCTCTAGCCTTGGATTGATGTGAATGTGAGATGCGTGATGATGAAAGGAGTGAATTTATACTTCACTCGTGTTTGAGAGTTGGGTGTTGCGTTCCTGGCAGCAGCACTGCTCATCTCCATGCGGTACCTCTGTGCCAACTGTTGGTCACCTCTTGCACCGTCAGCAAAGAAGTGGAAATGAAGGGGAAGGGCCCAGTACCCCTCAGAGGGTATTCGAGCTCTGCCACTTGAGTCAACACCATGCAGTCAGGGCCAGAAGGATTCAGAGATTACTGCTGGGCTGTAAAATTCAGTGAATGCCTTTATACCCCCAATGTGACTGAAAAACGTATCATCTGCCACATTGATTGTATATGCTGCTTGCATGAATGTACCTGTAGATATCCTGACACTAGACAGTCTGTAATGGTTCCAAGTGTTCACATTTAAAACTGTTGGAAAAAGAGGTTTACTTATTTTAGCAGTCCTGACCCTATCAGCTAAGTAGGCCTAGTTCCCTTTCTAATAACTTACTGTTTGTTAAGCTTATTTCATGGGAAAATGCCTAGACTTACCACTAAACCCAAGTGAGTAATTAAGAGTATCTAATGGTACTACTGTGTGTACTATACTTAATGTTTAAGCACACCTCTTGAGAGGAAAACTTAACACTTTTTTCTTTCATCAGGCTGACTTTGATGGTGCTGCAGAAGATGTCAAAAAATTAAAAACAAGACCAACTGATGAAGAACTGAAGGAACTCTATGGATTCTACAAACAGGCTACTGTTGGAGATATTAATATTGGTATTCCTATATATACTTCACATTTACTCCCCTATCTTGATGAAATCAAGCAAATGTTATATAAATCTGCATGATAATCAAAGGTATGCATTTGTTTTGGCAGAATGTCCAGGAATGCTAGATTTGAAAGGCAAAGCCAAATGGGAGGCATGGAACCTGAAAAAAGGTGTTACACCAGTTAAATTTACATCATGTAGTCATGTTTATAGAATGATAAATGAGCAAAGATAATGACTCCTACTTTCCTTTGCAGGTTTATCAAAGGAAGATGCCATGAATGCCTATATCTCTAAAGCAAAAGCAATGGTAGAAAAATATGGGATCTAGAATACTCAAAATAATTCCCACTAATAACTAACTCTTCAGTAGCTAATGAACTGACTGTCGAGAGAACTGCAATACTACTCCTTATTGTATAGTCTGACAGTATAATCTTTTAAGCATAACTTGTTTGACTGTAAAGGGTATTTACATACATACTCTACTTTAGATTGTATCTTATTCTAAATAAATTTGAGCCTAATAAATTACGCTTTCTGTAAGAACTGTGGATTTTTGTGGGTACTAAATTACGTTTAGTATTTCTACAGAAGCACACAGAGGAGCTTTAAAAGTAAAATAACATAGCTGTCATTTTTTTGCAAATGAGGTTATAGAATGAAGTGAAGGGTTTGTGCACATGCAAAGATGATAAGAGGGGAAAAAATGAAAACTTTGTAAAGTCCCAACAACAATGTTTATTTTCAAAAAAATCAGAAAAACTCCCCCTTTAAAAGGATTACAGTAAACATGTAGAGGAACAGAAAAATTTTTAGGCATTACTGCATGCAATTGTAGAGAAAGAATGGCTTATTATGAAGTGCTGTGGACAAATCTTACACCCTCTGCCATTAAAGTAGAGGGAAATACTCAAAGACCAGCATTTTCTATACATCTTGTTATATGTTTTGTCAAGAAAATTTCATTAGAGGGTTCCAGCAGATAAAAGTGACCTCCAGGAAGCTTGTAAAAGGAAATATCGCCACTCGTTAGATCGTGCCATGCTGAAAAAGATATTTACAGTGTCAGAGAAATGGCAACTGTTGTGGTCATTTTATGTAACTATTTCAAAGTTATTATTTAATAATTTTTTAAAATCGCGCATTAACTGCTTTGGTTCATACATTAAGACTGTTCTGTTGATTTGTTTCATTTAAGAAGGAGATAAAAGCCTCTAGAAAACTCATTACTGATTCGATACAACAGGAAAATGCATAAGAGGAAAACCATTTAAGCAAAGTACCTTCTAGATCATGTGGTTTGTCTTCAGACCCATTAAAGCAGGTAATATCACAAGAGAAGGGGACATTCCTGTCTGCCTTCTCAAAACTGTGAACATAAAAAGTAGTAGTAAAACTTTGCATAAGCCATTATATTTGGGGTTTGCTTCCACAGACAAAACAGCTTTTTCTTTCTCCTCCAAAACATAACTTAAGGAATGAGATTGTGCAGAACATCAGGAGAAGGAATTCCTGTAGCTCTAAGATTCTTAGCTCCTTACACTACTGCAGTTAGTCTAAAATTTTAAAGAAAGAATGACCCAATAGTTACAGGGGGAAAAAGCTTCAACTTGCAAAAAAAATTCTCACCTACACTGAACGATTATGTTATCTGCTTATATTCAAGTTCTAATTTCTCAGGGCCTTATCAGCATGAGGTTCCTACAGCCAAAATGGGTCCCACATCCAAGAGTGTCCTTGTCTTTGTCAGGGTAAGAAACCTTAACTACTCAGCTACGTGAGCTGTTGTGTCACATCCAGTGGGGACAGCAGCTAGGACAGGAGCAGCCGGTTGCGTTCTAGATGCTTAGAACACAGGGGTTCTTTGCTTCGGGTTGGGCTAGGGGGCCTCGGATCAGGAGGCTGACTGCATTGATCCTGAGGCTTGATCAGCTGAGCTTATTAGCCTCAGAAAACAATAAAAGATGCGAGAATATTCCTTTTATAGCAGCTACTAACTTTGGATCCTAAGTAGAACTGTAATTCTACCATGACATGTTTGCTACCATAACAACAGTAGTGGTTGCTACAGTAAGCAGTGTTTTCATCCAGGGCTTAAATACTAGAATATAAATGGAAAAGCACACAAAGGAGAAAACTGTTTTCTGTTCATATTCTTTTTAGAACAGAAACAAACAAATTACAGAGAAAGAAAAAACCTGAAATGATCAGACAGAACTAAAACTCTAAAATACAAATATAAATGTAATACAAAGTTGTAGAACTTACGAAAATGTCTGAAGAACTCTAAGGTCTTCTTTGAAAGTAAGGATCAGATGTTTCTTAATGTCTTCATTTTGCAGAAACTCAGAAGGAGTTCCTCCTAAAATTTGTAGATATGTAAGAACGTCTTCATCTGCTGCATCACATATGGGTATGCTTTTGATGGGAAGAAATGCTTCAGACTGTCAGCACCAGACAAAACAGATCAGGTGTTGTATATAATATACTTTAAATAATACTTTCATTAAGAATTGTTTCAGTAAAAAAGTACAGTGATTCTCTATCTCCAAAATACAATAGCTGATTAGTTTAACATCCACAGAGACTACTTCTTGGAAAGCGTTAGTAGACTGTTTTTGCTGAAAATACAGATTGTGAGTGAGCCAAGCACCCTCAAGGTCTGAAACTTCCACAGACAAGCATTAATTTAATTTTGTTCAAAGTTTGACTCTCATTATTGAAATACAACTAATAAAATAATACATTTAAGAGAAAGAAAAGCCTAGCAGTGGACACAAATCTGACTAATGTAGGATGGGGGGGGGGGACACCAACCGATTATGGAAATTTGCAGGAATAATAATTGCTTCCACGAAGTACTAGCTCATACTCAGGATTGCTAAGAAGCCCCAGAAACAAAAGAATGGAAATAGCAAATGCTGACTGAGGACAGGAGGACTGGGGAAAAGCCACTTCACTCTTGTTTTCCTGAGAAAGACCAGCAGAACCACCAGAATCTCAGAGGAAGCTGAGGACAAATTAAAAAGCCAGCAAAGAATGAGGAGGGAAACAACTAACCGAGCAAATGTAGTGAGGGCTTGTGCAGGAGCTTTATGAAAGACTCGGTTAAGACAGTTATGTCACATGTTGCCAAGTAGGGAGTGTCACTTTATAGTTTGTTTTGAATACTTTCTAGTATTAAGCCAAAGGCCATAGTAAGTACAGTATTCAAAAAAAGGTAGCATTATCTTAAGGAGACTTCTCCCTAGGCTAAGGTTAGCAGCAGTGAATATTTTGTATTTTCCATCCGCCTCAGAATTAATTTCCTCTAAGAAAACAGAACATTTTTCTGCATATATTCAGAAACAATGCTTGTTTTGTATTAAAGCCACTCTGCATACCATACTGTAAAATGTTATTTTTACCCTTAGTAGCTAACACACTGTTTTGTTTTGTACTGTTATTTATTCTGTAACTTACATGTGGAGCATGTGCCCCTGATACAAAAAGATGGATGGGCTCTAGTCCATACTGCTCTTTCAAGTGTAGTGCAACTGCAAAACTAATATAAGATCCAAAACTGCAACAAAAAGAGAAATTAAATCAAAGTAAGCAAAAATATATGTAAAAACTGGAAAATTTAAACATAATTTGAATTTTAGCACTAACTGGCTATTGTGAACAGTTACTGAAACTATATATGACATGTAAATTACAGTGATATTAGCTAAAATTGACATGAAATGTATTCCTATACCGTCTAGTTTTACAAATCAGACCTTTTTTAATCTCTGTTTCTTTTAGTAGTCTCCTTAATTTGCACTAAGAACAGTTACTTTGAATACTTGGGACTAAGTGATCTTCAACATCTATGTGTTTTATGAATGGTTCACCCCCTGCATTCACACAGAGCAAGCACACACACAAATATTAACAGTCAACACAATTGTAATTTATCAGTGTAAGAAAAAAAAAACAAACCCCAAAACCACACATAACACTGCCTTTTTAGAAGACATTGTGCCTGAAGTAATAAATAAATAACCAGAGTCTTTGAGACCAAGATCATGTTCTAGGATGACTTGACAAAAGATCTTTGCAGAAGTGTACTTTCCTAAAGTTTTTTGCAAATAAATGGAAGTAACTATCTACTCCTAGAGTTCAAAGAGAAAGGTCCTTCACCAGGGTATCTAAAAATGTATATGTTTTTACCTGTGACCAAAAAATGCAAATGGTTTTTCTTGAAATTCCTTTAACAAAACACTTGTAATTTCATTAACTATGGTTGGCACGTCTTTTGCAAAAGGCTCCTTAACACGAGATTCTCTTCCAGGAAGCCTTATGGAGGACACTGCAGAAGGGGTGGAGGAAGGGAGGGAAAAGAATTATGGTTATTTCCAATAGAAACAGTAAAATAATTTTAATTACGTTTTTTTAATCTATTCTGCAGTATATATAGATTATTTAAATTAATCCTTCTTACAGTTGATGCAGTGTATTTGCTATTGCTACTACTGTCTTTTAATCCTCTGAGAGATTAGGTTTCCATCCCTTCCTTTACTCAGAAATGTTGCCTCTCCAATTGATCTGATTGCTAAATGCCTTGGGTCAGAAATCCACAAGGTCCCGATCTCTGCTGAGGTTTCAAAGCAAATTTTTTATTATTATTATTATTAACAACCACAAATTCATTAATTTCAATAATAGTAAGTTTGAGCATTGTGTAAAATATATCAAGGGCGACATTAGAAAGTTCAACTATGTTAGAATCATACAGTCCATTTTCTTATTTGCACACTCCTCAGCACTGCATGTAGTAAAATGTGGAATCATAGTATAAATTGATGGGAATTTATATTTATATGGAAGGACATATTACATGCTTTTATTATACGCCTTTCAAAATTGGGGATTTTCCTCTCACTGTTTAGAGAAAGTAAGGAATGAATAGATCAGAAAAAAAAAAGTTCATTTTCTAAAATCTCCTTGACATCACGCATACTGCCAAACTCAGATGGAAGTAATGGGTTGGATGCAAAGTATTTTAGAAGAGAGAATAAACCACTGCCTAATACTATAGATAGCAGTACAGAAATGTTTGCATCTTCTATACTTCCTTTCTGCACAAAACATCTCTGAAAGAGCATGCCGAACCCTGATTTTAGTCATCTGTGTCTGCAGCTGCTCCTAGGCCATCTCCTTAGTAACTTTGTTGGAAGTAGTTCCAGTGGACAAAAGCTTTTTGTTTTCTTCTTTTTAAAAAAAAAAATTCAAGGACAATTTGATGTGACTTGTACAACTGTTTACAGAAAGCATAGAAGCGCAACAGCAATGCTCTCTATAAATGCTACTTTTTTTTTTTTCTTTTTGGAAGGTCTGGAAAACAGCCTTGGTTCCTCTTCAAATAGTTCAGCAATGCATCTTTTTAGTGCTGATATAGCCTGGTAGCAATGAGAATTACTTCACACTGTAACTAAATGTCATTTCACTGTTATAAATCCATAGTTTAAACTTCAGTTTAAAACCATGCAAACACTCGGGATAACAGAAATTCATTCTGTGCAGTCTCTCAGCGTTAAAAATACTTCTCAGATCTTCACTGTTAACCTTGCTGATGCCTTTTTTTAACATATTAACAATATGCCTGTGTGTTGCTGTTTCTGGGTCACACCAAGTTTCTGAAGCAGTCAAGCACACTATAGTCTTGTGAAATTTAGCTCTGAGGATACAACTTTTTAACCTAGTCAAATATAATTTGATCTGAGGTGGTACAGAAACTTAGTAAACTCTGCACCCTAATGGAAATGCTAATTCCTAATGGAATTCCTTTCTGGATAAGACCCAGTGGAAAAAGATTGCAGTGTTCTCAAGAATACTATATTCCATTCAAAAAATTTGGCTACTGTGTATTTCAGACTTGCTTAACTTCTGCTTTAACTATACAAATGACTAACCTTCAATTGAGCTGCTGAAGAGTTTGCCCCATTGAGCAAATTGAGAAGTTCCACCTCCAGCCCACGGAAAGCAAATCAGCCTACAAAGAGCATTTGGCCTTTTGTATGGACAAGCAACCAGCTTCTCCATTCCTAAAAAAAACCCCAAACCCAAGAAAACAACACATCATTCTAGAACAAGACTCTTCAGGTATAGGAAAATCAGAATTAATTAAGTGTAATTTGAAACAATGGTCTGCAATATTTTCTGTCATCATCACTGCTTATGCTACAACAACAATCTGTTAGATATAAGATAATGTTTATGCAACAGTAGAAACCAGTTCTGCTTTTATAAATGGTGATGGAATAGTATTGGGCAACATTTTTGGTTAATATTTTCTCCTATTTGAGTCACTGACCACAAAGAGTGTAACAAGTAGCAAAATACATTGATACGGGATTTCAGGATGGCCATTTAAAAACACAGGCTTTTAGAACATACACAAAAATATAAGGTCCATCTAAAGACCTAGAAAACATAAGGACCACCTAGTTCAATATTCTTTCTTCTACAGTAGTAAAATGGATGTCTAGGGAACAGTTGGATGCAGGTTCTTTATATACAGGAGACATGTATGAATTTCTCTTCGATGTATTTATCCAGTCTCCCCTTAAGTTCCTATGAACAGCTGGCATCTACAACATCCTCTTGCAATGAGTTGCACAGGTCTACTATCTGCTGCTTGAAAAGTTATCTCCTTTTTTGTTTTTAATCCGACTCCTACACCTTCATTTGATGGCCACAGGGTAGTACAGTAAAGAAAGTGACTAGTGGATCTGTCCGGCTTTGCCACTGATCATTTCTGAGATCTTTTGTCATATTGTCTCTGCCCTCAGTCAGCTCTTTTTCCCGAATGGAAAGGCCTGGCTTTCTTAGGTATCCCTTGTGTGGCAGTGCTTCCATACTCATGACCAGGATTCGCTGCCCATCCCTGAGCTTTTTCTCAATTTGTTATATTCTTTTTGAGATGGTGGACTAACCAGAGCCACATTCAGCTTTATCACAGCAGCTTTAGTATTTTTTGTTTACTGACAGAAGTAACAGTTGAAGCAAGATTTGTATCTACTCATTCTTTCTTGCAGAAAAGGAAAAATAGCATCAAAGATTGCCAACTGCATGGTCTGTAGCATGAGATACTGCCTTTACTAGCTGAAGAAAAAAGCAATTCTCAACCATTTTTATTCTTTTTTCCTCATTTTCTTGTCCTTTATTCTTGCTGATTAGATTTGTGGACATAGGCACCAAGGTGATGTCCTACTACTGATAGCGTATCAGGCTGTGTTTTGCAAAAGAACCTGTGCAACAGAAATACCTGGTAAAGATAAATTAATTAGAAGAAACAACAATACAGATTTTTTTTTAAAAAATGTTTTCTGCAACCATCAGAATAAACTCACATGTTCTTGTTAAAAAGACTGAAAAATAGTAATTAGGGGATAACAAGCAGCATAATTCCATTTCCAAAATGCTGCAAATCATTATGGTTATTATTTCTTGCTTCGAATATAACTCAGCATATGCAAGGGCTTGTTCATCATAAAATACACCTATTTGCCTACATGCAGTCTTTTTTACCTGCACAAAAAGCTTGAGAAATGCAACCAGGTGAGAATAGGCAGCAATTCATACCTATTTTAAAACTATGTAACGCAAGCAAGACAGAAGAAAATTTACCAAAACGTTGCTGTGGCAATTTCTTGATTTTCACATACGTTTAAACTGGAAAGTTTGTCAACATTTGTTAAGAATGACTTCAAAGAAACTGTAAGAAGAGCAAGCCGAAACAGTATGTATCAAAAATCACTGGGCAGACAATGTGAACTTAAAAATAGCTGAAGGATAGTGGAAGCAGTGCTGCAGAAGATATAATTCCTCTGGTAGATTCATTTAGCTTCAGTACCACTGTCCCATTTACACAGTCACTTCTTCCACAAAAAGACACAAACCCTCAAACATTTCTGAAGCCAGTGTTTTAGCTTGACAGTCAAAGAAGAAAAGAATAATCTCTTCTCAAACTGATTCCAAAGGTGATACAAAAATTTCAAGCATGATAAAGCAGCACATTTAGTCAAAGTCATTAAACTATTTAAAGACACATTACCAGTCACTGAGAATCTTTCATAATTTCTACTCATACAGGTTTATTCCATCCAGCTTACTTTAGGTGCAAGTACCTGAATAGTCGGGAAGATCACCAGTGCCAGGAAATGAGAGCCCAAGGGTGGATCCACTTCTCAGCGCTGCACAGCAAGAAGCAGGAATCAGAATTTGTACGTATGAGCAGATAGGGCAGCAAAGCCAACCTTGCAGGAGAGGACAGGATGTGCATTCAGGTGGCACAGCTGCCTGCTTTTAAGGCTTTTCTAGGCTTAAGGGGAGGAGCCCACACCCCAGAAAAGAGGCAGGGACTGAGGCACACAGCATCCCAAAAGGGAGACAGAAGCATCATGTGTTAGGCATGACACACAGCTTTTGGCAGCAATATAAGGAAGGCACGCCACATCAATCCCAGTGATTTAAAAAGCACAGGTTAACACACCCATGGCAGTACAGAGTTGTAGCAGTTTTAATACATGTAGGCCCACAACCTCACTGAAGAAAAAATCTGCATAAAGCAACAAGAAAAAAACAGCTTTTTATAAGAACTATATTCAAAAGTACAGCGGTCACACCTCTGCTGGACAGTTTTGTAGGGGTCTGAAAATGTTAATGCAGAAGACCATCACCTGATTTGAATAAAACACTGCATTTGGTTAGAAGGCCAGATGTAATTTCTACAAGCTGGGAGACATAGCAACACATGAACACCACAGTGTGGTTATGTATGATGATTTTATATTAGCTAGCACATTATGCTCCTGGTGACCAGATGCTATCAACAACCTAAAACCACGTGTATTTTGTAACTGCATTTGTAGTACTAGGAAGATTGCCTTTTTTTTTCTTTTTTTATTGTTACTCTACCAAAAATATCAGTAACAATAATAATAAAGGAAAAATATTCAAAAGCAGTGACCAAAACTAAGGAAATTGAGTGCCAAAATGGGTTCTGATGCTCAAGCTGAGACATGTTAGCTGGACTACTATGTAGTTTTCAAATTATTCATCATTCTTCTACATTTCTCTTCATCTCTATGAAACTGAAAAATCTGTGGTGTTAAGAGAAAAGCCTACCTGTTGACCTAGCCAGTCACTAAGCACTGCTTCTTTCCCAAACGAGGTCTGCAGTCTTCTACTCACTTCTGATTTCTGCTTTCCTGGGAACCCCTAAATCAACCCTTCTGACTGCAGCAGTTTCTGTGGGAAGGCATAGGCTCCACAGTGAGGGATGGTCCCAGGCTCTGCAGCTGCCTCTTACAAATGGCAGAAGTGGAAACTGCTGCTAAGGCTTCTTTCACAGTACTTTTATGTTGCAATTATTATGAAGTAAGATGAGGCACACCTATGTTTGGAAGGTGCATGATTTAAAGCAGCTTATATTGGCTAGTCCTGACCTGTGCTGTTATGCCCAATACTGCTTCTCCACCTGATGTATCTGCTATATCAGAGGCATTTGATTATAAGATACAATTTATAATAAAGCACCTAATACGCTTTATTTATTCCTACCTCCAATTGTGCCAACCATACATTGTGACACCCAACATTAATGTTATGAAAGCCAGCTGTTACAAACATCAGGCCCACTAATAATGTTCCTAAAAGTAATAAAATACTACTGGAAACAATTATTTCCTAACTAAGGCTGAAAATAAAATAGGTTAAGAATAAGAGTTTGAAAGTATAGTATTAATCAAATAGCATGATATTTCCTTAAAATTAATCAAGTTATAAACTCTATGTGCTAGTTGTTTCTGTTTGCCTTCTATTTTTTTTCCTCAGTATCAAAAGACTAGAAATTTATTTGTTTTCATATGCAAAATTAATATTTTCAAAAATTAAGTAGTTCCAGGAGATGCCACTCTCCTGGCCACTCAACCAAAATTATGTTTGCCATTTCCAGGGCTGAAGGTAAAAGAGGGCTTTACAGAACCAACTTTGCCAACTCAGTACTAGTATAGAATAGTATAGAATAGGCATAGAATAGAGACTATTTCAGTTGGGAGGGACCTACAATGATCATCTAGTCCAACTGCCTGACCAAGTCACGGCTGACCAGAAATTAAAGCATGTTGTTAAGGGCATTGTCCAAGTGCCTCTTAAACACTGATGGGCTTGGGGCATCGACCACCCCTCTAGGAAGCCTGTTCCAGTGTCTGACCACCCTCTCAGTAAAGAAATGCTTCCTAATGTCCAGTCTAAACCTCCCCTGGTGCAGCTTTGAACCGTTCCCACGTGTCCTATCACTGGATCTCAAGGAGCACCCCCCTCTCCACGTCCCCTCCTCAGGAAGTTGCAGAGAGCAATGAGGTCGCCCCTCAGTCTCCTTTTCTCCAAACTAGCCAAGCCCAAAGTCCTCAGCCACTCCTCACAGGACATTCCTTCCAGCCCTCTCACCAGCTCTGTTGCCCTCCTCTGGACTCATTCAAAGACCTTCACATCCTTCCTTAATTGTGGAGCCCAGAACTGCACACAGTTCCCCACGTGAGGCTGCACCAACGCTGAATACAGCGAGATAATTGCCTCTCTTGACCAGCTGGTTATACTGCATTTGCTGCACCCCAGGATGGGGTTTACCCTCTTGGCTGCCAGGGCACACTGCTGGCTCCTATTGAGCTGCTGCTGACCAGCACCCCCAGGTCCCTTTCTGCAGGGCTGCTCTCCAGTCACTCCTCTTCCAATTTATACTTGTGCCTGGCATTACTTCGACCTAGGTGCAGAATCCAGCATTTTGACTTGTTAAATTTCATCCTATTAATCATGGCCCAATGTTCCGATCTAGCTAGATAGCTCTGCAAGGCCTCTTGTCCCTCAAGAGCACTTTCCAGTTTGGTATCATCAGCAAACTTGCTAATGGTGCATTCAACTCATGCATCCAGATCATTGATAAATATATTGAACAGAACTGGCTATAGAATTGAACCCTGAGGAACACTGCTGGTGACCAGTCACCAGCCAAATGTAGCTCCATTCAGTACAACCCTTTG